TGTGTCCCCTGTTCAGAAAGAAACAGGGATGTGTTACTTTATGTTTGGTACGCTTTTGTATACATGTAGAGTGAATATATTTATTAGAGTGAATATATAGTGTGAGACGGTCGATAAGGTACTCAATATTCCAACAATTAGATTATTTAAACAATACATGTAGGAAAGTGTTATGAATGAATATCGAGTACACCACCTCTTTTTTTGAGTAAATGGTATAAACTATAAGTAAGAATTTATTTAAGAATGAATGAGAGTGTGTATGTAGGAGATCCTGAGGTCGTAGGTTCAAATCCTACCGATGACCCCTGGCCTTTTATCACTCTACCTTCACCCACATCAATACAAGGACGAATAAATACATATATCGTTCTCGTTCTTGCTAATATGAAAAACATAGGCCAGCAGTTTTTTACATTTTTCAATGTGCCTAATTTAAAAACTTGCATGCGTTTGAGACAAAAATAACCTAAATTGTGAGATTTCCTCCTGTCTACGGGGTGATTAAACTATAGTTTGATAACTATCATCATGGTTTGATCACAAAAAATTAGCGAGGAAAGGCAGACCAGGGTGATAGGTAACTGTGAAACAACCTAGCTGTAGTTAAACCACCTAGAACTTAATGTCAGCGACAGGACGGAGAAGAAGAAGGTCTGACCCCAGGACTGCCAAAAGACCGAAGTAGGTGAAGTCATAAGCTCAATAAGCACTTATTGCATTTGGCCTTCTACAGTGTCCACATTATGTACTTCATGTTTTTATGCTATGAAGACTCTCATACTTGACTTATAAAAACTCAATGCGTGTTAATAATTGGATATTTCAATGAACCGCGGTGACTGGGACGTCCGACTCACATTTGCCACGCTAGAGGTCCTGGTTCGAATCCTGGCATATCCCATGGATTTTTTATTGATAATAGTATGAAAATGTATAATAAAGTGGTTTGACCTCTCATCCGCGACACCCAACGGGTAGTTAGACGTTGAGACATTCTGTATGACAGGAATTACTTTACGTTTTTACTAATTGAAAATTGTATTTTCTATGTCATGTACTTTATGTATTATTGCTTTGAATGTTGATATTAAAAGTAATAAATTTAATAAGTATACAATTTCAAAACACAAATCGTAACTTTTAGGGCGTACCAAAAAGTCAGTTAGAGCAATATGCAACGTTGCAACAGAAAAAACAAGAATGTCTTGCCATCAACACAACATATTCAGGAGGAAAAGGTAATAGTATATTTTTTAAATTAACACATCAGATCTGACACTCAATGTATAAAATATCTTCAAACTTTTATTTATTCTTTAAAGAATTTTGTCCACTTATCTGGGACGAAATATTATGCTGGACGGAGGCTCCTGCAAACACGACTGTTACACAGCCTTGCCCAGAATATTTCCACGGATTCAGCAGCGAGGTAATGCAACAATTTGTTCAGTTTATTATGCAACAACGACAAAAGACAATTCTCATATTGGTTTTTGCTCCGCTTTTCTAGAGGAATGCAACTAAGTTCTGCACCGCCAACGGGACGTGGTTTTACGATGAGAACATGGAAACGTTTTGGACCGATTACTCAGCCTGCGTTCCCCAACCTTATATACCTTATGATGACTACCAGTCATCTCTTACTTATGTATGTTCAGTATTTTTTTAATACTATTTTTTATTATTGGCATCATCAATTCCCAACCATTTAAGGATTGTGCATTAAGTCAATTATGAACTTCCAGGTTGTTTTTTTCTTTCACTTTGCTTTGCAGTGTTACTTTACAATTTGCAGGTGTGCCACAAGGGTCAGTACTCCGCTACAATTTTTACTTCTGATATGCCCTCAAATGAGAATGCACTTACCGCCAAATGCAGATGACCCCGCCATATTAACAAGTCATCCCTCTTTTGCACATGCTTCACTTATGTTACAAAACCACATATACCCAAAACTACACTGCCAGTGTACTCGATGTTCTTGAGGCAATAGAGGAAGCAGCTCCTCCATTTTACTCTAATAAACTACATTAACACTAGAACTCGTTAATACTGTCCCAGTACCCGATATTCCTGGGATAATAGGGGAAAAGTTATTCCATTCATGCTAATAAATACATTCATATTAGACCTCATTCGCACTGCCATTATATTGGGTATTCTTGGGGCAAAAGAGGAAGCAGCTCTTCCATTTTACTCTAATAAATTAAATTCGCACCAAAACTCGTGGACATTGCTAGGTTTTCAAATAGTAATTTTTCAACTTTGAAAAAAAAAATTTCAAAGTTATCGCTACTAAAACGCCTATTTCACGAAGGTTTACAAGTTCAGTATGACAATTTATTGGAAATTTAACGTAGTTTTCAATCGTATCAACGGATTTGTCCAAAACCCTTTAGTTTTGGAGTTATCATTTTTTTTGAAGCAAGGTCGTGAAATCTTAAAAAATCAGAAAAAGCAGAATAACTTCGAAACTGTTGAGATTCGGACCGTAGTTAATTAGGACTTTTTGGTTCCTTTTTGATTGTAGAATGTAATGGAAAAATTTGTAACACAAGTAGCTGAACACCCTGTATAATACATATACAGTTGTAGATAAAAATAAATGAAGATAAAAAATAAACTTTGCTCAAATTTTTATTAAAATGATTCCTTAATGCCTCGAAGAGAATTTTATTTTTGTGTGTTTTTTTATTTTTATTGAATGGATTAGGACTTTGAAGTCGAATATAATTGGAAATAACAAAACTCTAACTTGTCGTTTAAAAAAAATTGATTAGGAGAAATTAATTGGTATGTTTGTTTAGTTGAGGGATAACATGTATGATAACAGGACAATTTATTTTCAGGGACATTTTCCCATCATAGAGGCGATATCACAGACAGGATATGGAATATCGCTGATAACACTCATTGTTGCATTCATTATTTTGGCCAGTTTTAAGTAAGTACGTAAACATAGATGAGATATCGATGCATTTTTATCGCGCAAGGACCGAAAGGGCATCTGGAACAAATCATCTTCCTAGTCACCTAGGCTCTTATCTATGTAGACATTTCATAAAAGCCGGCGAATATATTTGCAAAACGTCTGGATTTCATAAATTTTCTCTCTCAGTGATATTTTTATAACGAATCGTGTAAATTGTTTTTAAAAAAAAGGGCATAACCGAATGAAAGTAACAAGGGGTTAAGGTACATTTTGACGGGGAGATTTTTCAAGTCGTACTCGTTGGATCGAAATGTTAACAAATTTTATCTCCCCGAGATCCTTCGTGTAAGTTATTTTTCCATTTGTGAGAAAACGTGTTTACAACCAATTAGGGCAATAAATCTTCGCGTCGGTCTATGTACGATATTCCTAAAGCAGTTTTTTGCCGAGGTGCGAGAGAATTATAAGTCGAAAAATAACACAAGTTAATTTTTTTCTATTTAAAGGAAATTGAGATGCTCCAGGAACTTGCTGCACATGCACTTATTCGTTTCGTTTATGCTTCGAGCTGGGACTAGCCTATTAAAAAATAATTGGCTCTTCAAAGGAGACGGGCTGAACTCGCTTTTCGAAATTGGAGAAAGCGATGCGATTTTCGGAGGCTCGAAGGTTCCATTAATTTTTTACAATTCCAACGTATCCGACAGTTCAAATTTCAAATTTTCTTTAGGAAACCTGGGCCTGCAAGTTTCTCATTAGCCTGTGGCAGTTCTCTCTCCTTGCTAATTACCTCTGGATTTTCATGGAAGGACTGTATCTGCACAACCTAATATTCCTATCCTTATTTTCCGACACCAGTTCAATTAAGATGTACGTCATCATCGGTTGGAGTAAGTATTTCAGACAAATTTCCGAAATTCATGTAACAGCTTCCTTTATGAAGGATAGCAAATATTTAATAAAGCGTGATATAAAAGATTGCGTAACCGAAAAAAAATCTTGAAAGCATCAGCATACAAAAATCTATTTTCAATTCTCATTTTAATCTAAATACAAGTTAAACACAAATCTTGTTAACCTATGAGAATGAAATAAAATTTAGTAAATTGTCATTTAATTTTGTCTAAAAAAACCATTCTTAAACAAGCATAAATTGTTCACAATTTTTCTTTGCCAAAAAAATTGGCTCTTGGTTTTGACCTAATTACATCCCACATTCTCCAAAAACTCCAACAAAAGGTATTCTATATCTTGCATACCTCCATAATTGTATGTTCCATTTTACTCTTACTTCTCTTATTCTGGAAACATTCGATCACCATCATCACCTAAACCTGGCAAGCCATCTCAAAGGCCTCAAAGGATCGCTTCATTAGTTTACTCCCTATCCTGTCCGAAGGAATGTTACAAAAATTAAACCTTCTCCTAGTTTGGCTGTCACTACCACCACAAGCAAGCACGTTTCTGACAAGTTCTGACAACGATCAACTTACTCCGAATACTCTCCGGTCGCAGGAGTAGCGCAGGGCAGTGTGCTCGGACCGATCCTCATTATCCTTAACTGAGATGTTACACCTACATACTTGCATCCGTTGCCATGCTACAGCAGTACCTTTGACCTGCAGACACATCTCATGTATAGCACACTGGTTTATAATGGAAAATTAAGTGGAAAGCAAGAGCATCTCTCACAACCTAATACAACAATGTTTCCATCAACAAATCAGGCTGTTCTACCTACATGCTTAACATGGAATCATACGCGGCTAAAACGACACGACCTAAAGACGGTGTACAAACCTATGGGACAACTCATGCTTTCAGGAACAAACTTATAATCTACAACCGATTGGGACGCAAGGTGGGTCACAGCTAACCTTCCAATATTCAACGTTTCCAATCCTTTCCAAAGATCCTTAGACCTATTGTAATGCTCTTCCTACTACACAACGACCTTAAAATCAAACGTTTATCCAAAAATTATTTCCTTAAAAATGTATCAAGTTCCGAGTGAAGTGAAAATCATCACCCTGATTGGGCCCAGGCCTTTTATAATTGATCGCATAAGAATTCTTAAGCGGGTGGACATGACCCCGCGAGCAGCGACCTCCTGCCAACGTAGTAGAATTAAAGTAATTTACATTTTTAGATTAATAAATACAAAAATATAACCATTGAATAATGAACAACCATAAATAATAATATGTTCTCAATGTATTTTTAAATGGTAAAATTTTACAGGTCTGCCTTTGTTCTTTATAACTCCATGGGTTATACTTAAACTATTGTACGAAGACAGACATTGCTGGGCTGTAAACTATAATAAATATTACTTACTCTTCATCACCATTCCCATGGCAATATCGACTTTTGTAAGAACAATGCGATAACTTAACGTTATTGTGTATTTGAATTAACTTTCATTTTTTGGCCAGGTTAATTTTGGTATGTTCCTGAATATTATTAGAGTTCTACTACTGAAGCTGACGGCGTCGATTTCGGAAGATAGCCGCCGCTACAGGTAACTTTTCTTACTGCTAATAATATTTAGAAAAAAATCATGTTACACCTAATCTCTGTTTTAGAAAATGGGCTAAATCCACGTTAGTTTTAATCCCCCTGTTTGGAGTACACTATGCTTTGTTTTCTGGCATGTCGTTCAGCATTGGAAAAAACGAATTGATTGAAGTTATTTGGCTCTACTGCGATCAACTCTTTGCCAGTTTCCAAGTAATCAACTATTTTTATGTCCAACACTGCAACACAATGCGATATTATAATACACTCAAAGACAAAAAAAACCGGACACTCGCATTTTATTGTTTATTTCAAACTGCATTTATGTTTATTGTTATATTACTTACAACATACTTATTTAAGTGTGTTTTTTATTGGCGGGTCGTGAGGAGCGGTCAAGCCTGAGGTAGACTAACACATTTTTCGTTTTTTTTTGCCGACGTTTCAACCTGTATTCAGGTCATCTTCAGTGCCTAGGTGAATTACAAAACATGTTGATTGGAAAAAATACAGTAAAGATGTAAATATATACTTTGAACCAGTATTTCATAAAATGTGGCGCTATTCATGTGGTGTCAAATCTGCATATGTTTTGTAATACATCGAGGCCCTGAAGATGACAGGAATATAGGTCCAAAGGTCGACAAAAAAAATGAAAAAGGTGTTTTTCTAAACTAATTCATTCTTGACCGCTCCTCACGAATCCAACAACTTATTTAAACGAGAGCAAAAATTCATGACTTTTATTTTTTTTTAAATAAATTATGATAGTTTTAAAGAAAGTTTACCAAAACACAGGAAAATCATTTAAGCATAGATTAAAATTTTATTACCAATTAATTACCTAATTTTGTTGTTAATAACACGTACCACTCCGGGAGTACTTAAGTCTCCAAGGTATCGAGTAAATAAGCGACCATATTTCGTCAGAATCCTCTTTAATAACGCTTTTGGATGCTGCAAACAATGTCTAACTCGTCTCTTTATCATGTCCCATAAGTGCTCTACAGGCTTCGTGTCAGGAGAACGTGCTAGTCAATTCATTCTGGTAATCCATGCATCCTCCATGTAATGGGTGATAACTTGAGCTACATGCAGTAAAGTATTATCATACAGTAACACGAAGTAGTCCTTAATAAATGGAGCGAATGGGATCACAGCTTCCAGAAGAACTTCTTTATTGTACCTTAGTGCAATGCAATGCACACGTGGGTGCATAACCAGCTGTACGACGGGATAGCACATTGTCTTCAGTTCCAAGCCCAGTAAGCGTGCTATGTGGGAATGGATTCGTCGTTGGCCGTAGGTGAGGACCTTGGCGGGTACTTAGAGAAGAGCCTGTTTTTCGGTGGTGCCCGCACTGCACCGAAGGCAGTCTTCTCTAGGGGGTGGTTAGAAATTGCACTTTAAACGTATCCGGTAGTTTCGACCTGGCAGGGACCCTACACTCAGGGAGAGTTGTCGTCTCTAATCTAGGGACCGCGTTGGGAGACCTGCTGATGCATTTCGTCCACCTTTTGGGTATCCCTTTACGCGCGGCACTGGTTAAGTTAACCTCGGAAGAGGCAAGCGAGAGAAGTCGACATGTCGGCAGTTTGTTGCAGTATGATGTGGGCTTCTACACCGAACCTCAGGGTGGAAGCAGATTTTCCGTGCGCGGAGATGAGTCGCTCCTAACTTGAGAATCTAGTGATGAGGCCCATGTGCCAGGTGCACACGTTGAACAACCACATTGTCTAAAAACATTGCGACCCCCAATGGGAAACACCTAGTGCAGTCACAGAATCAATCTGTTTGGTAATCATTTTGGTACGAGGTTGATTTCACCCCAGAAGTGATTTTCTGTATTTTTAATCTAAAGAGTGTTAAAGGCTTAGTAACACTCTTTAAAGGTACACAATAAGTTATTAATGTTCTGTTTACGTTTTAAGACAACTATTAATGTTTTAGGGTTTTTTTCGTCTATGAATGTAAAATAAAACCCTTTTTACTTACATGTTTTCCTTTGATTCATACATATCGAGCATAAATAATATTATGATCCTTATTTTTGTTTCTGTTTAGGGATTTTTCGTCGCGGTGTTGTACTGTTTCATGAATAACGAAGTAAGGACAGAAATTAAGAAAAAATTCGGCAACGCCCGGCCAGATTTTTACAGTGACACGGAGAGGCCGTCCAGAGGAAAGTTTAACAACCAGACGAATAATTCTGCAAAAAAAGGAAGCGGTATGTACATTCTTGTTAATATTTTTGCAATCGATAAATAACAGGCGATTCGCGAAGTAGCAACACGTCTATCCACACTTTCTCTGACCCTGATCGCTCATCCCAGAAATAAACAAATATCAACTATTTAAAAATGTTGAACCTGCCCTGGGTCACGTACTGAATCCGTTACACTGAAGGTTTTTTTGCTGTTGATGATGATCTGGAAGAGGAAAATACTAGGAAGCGGGAGGTCCTCCCAAGCAGTGAAGCCTTTTTGGCTTATTGTACTTATACTAGTCCCATAGTTCAGCTGGAAAGTTAAATTGCTGGTAGAGCATGACGGTCAAGGACTAGATCATCGGAATCGACAGCGAGGAGCATCGGTTAACATGGGAACCATATTGGAGCCAGAAAGCTAAAGTTCGATTCACGCAGGCTATCGCAGAGTACAGCTGAGCTTTATTCTACCGCCCTTGCTTTTTAACTTATAAGCTATATTTAAAGAAACCTTTAACCATTTCCATACAAAGGGCGTCCGGATCAGTGAGGCATACCTGCGGTCTGTATTCGGTATGCGGACGACACAGAAGTGCTAACGGTAGTGAACTTCATTGTTCAGCATAGTGAAATCTGTGGCTTAACGTTAAATGTTTCCAAAACCAAGGTGATCGCGTTCTCAAAACAGAAAAATAAAGATAAATCTATTAGTGAATGAAGAGCGCAGGGAACAAGTGACGTCATAAAGTACGTTACCAAGGTACCCTAGTTAATGAGCAGTGCGACCCTGAAAAGGAGTTAATGGCCAGAATAGAAATGGCTAGAGCAACTTTCTTTCCAACAAAACTTTTTTATTCATTCTAAATTTAGTTTAGAGTTAAGAATGAGAATGATAATATGCTACGTAATCTCGGTCCTGTTATATGGATGCGAAAGCTGGACGTTTGATCCAGCGTACTGAGAAGTTCGAGGCCTTTGAGATGTATTTATGCCGGCTCATACTCCGCACACCGTGGATCCAGAGGGTTAAAAATAAAAGAGTGCTTCGCAGAATGGACAAACCCAGGGAACTTGTGCGTACCGTATATGAGAAATCTGATGCTGGAGCGCGCTATGAATTGCTCAGGTTAATAATGGAGGGCAAAATACTAGGGAAGCGTTCCATTGGAAGGAGGTAGAACTATTGGCTGAAGGACGATGCGTTGGTTGCAATGCACGACTGTGGAGGTTACCAGGACGCGACCAACAAGGAAGAGCAAGCTGCTTGGATTGTCAACCTTCGAATTAAAAAGATGATCCTATTTTTAAAGAGTAGTAGGTCATTGGACTGTCATTGCTGCATTTATTCTTGGGTCTTGTTGGTATCCTTGGTTGTGTCTCACTTGAGCCGTTCTCATTCGAAGATGATATGAATGGTAGTCACTTCTTACTCATTGCTGCTTACTAAAAATGCGCTCATCGTTGAATATCCCCATGTAAATGTTTTCTTAGATACCAGGGAACTATATATAACCCTATCTCTCAGCCGAGTTTCACTCGGTCTAACTGTACCAATGTTTGCCAGTTTTGGTAAGAGTTTTTCAATCATGAGTTCACTATGTTTGGCATCTCTTGATTTCTTCCGTTTCTCACTTTTGTACGGACCTACTCGAAATGGAGGAGTCTATGTTTGTTCTTGTTACTCCAATTATACGTTCTGGACCAATAATCTTGCAGATCCTCCTCTGGCGTTGTCTTTTGTTGCTCATTATCGAAAATTCCTTTCTGGCCTGCATCCAAGATATTGTCAGGTTGTTTTCTCAGGTTTTAGAGATTTTGGATGCATTCACCGACTATTTTTACATCTTTAAAGCTAATGCTTCGAGGGTCCTCGAATGTCTGATCTAATGAGGAATTTTGGTACCTATTTTAAGAATTTCTATGCTACAAACATTGATAGCATGTACACAGCTTGAAAAGCGGAGGGGTACTTCCCTGATTGGGCTTGGGCTTGATCCGCTTCCTTCACTGGCTTTTGTAGCCATTCGTATACCATACAGATGTTTTGCGCTTTGCGCCATCGTCAGTGAGGATTTTCTATCCTCTCAATCAGATTTCTTAGTGAAGATGGCATAAAGGCGAAACACGTTTGAGTGACTTCAACCAGTAAGTGAGGCCAGACCTAGTGCGGTAGATCTATGCATTTTAGGTCAGGAGGGCAGTTGATGATGATTTAATGATGAAAGAACAAATAGTTTTTATATTTGTTTTGCTATGAATTATGGAATACTGGATACATGACGCGAAACGTAAAAAGGAGATGTTTGTGTATATCTGTCAGAAATAATTTTAATATTAATAAAACACTATTTTATTTATCGAGCACAGCCAAATTGGTTTCCGTTTTACACAAAATTTATACAGTTTTAACAATTTTGTCTTGGTGAGATTTAACAACTTGTCAAGATTTCGGTTCGGAGTGGGAAAACTGGACCTATTTATCGGTCCGTCAAAACAACTTGATTTATGTTCAAGTTGACGTCAACGAGGCCAACTTTTTTTTTTTTTTTTTAAATTACAAATACCTACAATAAACAAACATACCTACATCACACCAGATCGCATCTCACGATTTCCAAATAAATAAACAAACAATTTATAAATAATAATCTTCTAAATATTCGGATTTTTTTAAATTAAGTGTATACCTATGTGTATACTTTGTATTTATTATTATTACTATTGTATTTATTATTTCAAGATGAAAAGTGCTATTTTAATTTCGTTCTTGTTAAAAGGTACACTGGACAGTTGCATGATAAGTTTCATGTCGAAAGCTAATGATTTCACTCTAAAAGATTCCGCCCTTCCAAGACCATTGCATGGAGTAAATGTAAGTAGCTTAATACTTCTTAATTTAATTTTTTTTATTACATTTATTCGGTATTTACAACTACAAGTGATGTATTAAGTAAATATGTTCGTATATGTTGAATTATCATTTGAGGCTCTTGTAGGAGAAGTTGCCCAGTGGTAACACTCCTTCACACTGATATCTTGTTCAGTCTTCACACAATGAGAAGGTCTCGGGGCCACTTTCGCTTCAATCGTCTTGGAGGATTTTCAGGTAGGGTTGGAAGTGATAAATTTCGTACGAATAGATTACTGTGTGTGTTCAGTGATTGATGAAATTTTTTATATCGAGTTTTGATGAGTTCGTGTACAAACGGGATGTGTAGGTCTTTATGGATAGTGTAATTTGAAACGTAAAAAGGAGCATTTATAATTTGACGGAGAATTTTAGATTGGATTGATTGGAGACGCTGGGAATTGGAATCCTTGGTTGAGCCCCACACTTCACAACCGTACGCCCAGAGAGGTCTAATCATTGTCTTGTAAATTAAAAGTTTATTTTCAAGGTCTAATTTTGATCGTGAGTCGAGTAGTCTTTTTAACAATTTATAACGTCGGTTTGTTTGCTGTCTTTTCAGTCTTGTATGGGGATTCCAAGTCAGTCGTTTATCCATGAAAAGTCCAAGATAACGCACAAGGTCAGTGGTAGGCAATGGAATTCCATTTATACTCACCGCAGGACAGACATTTTTACGTAAGGTAAAATTGATCTGTGTGCTTTTTGTTAGGTTTACCTTTATTCTCCACTTTGTGAACCATATTGTTAATTCATTCAGGTGTTGTTGTAAGTGTTGAGTGTTAATTGAGGGGTCCGAATTGCGTGTAAGAATCGCTGTATCATCAGCGAATGTGTGTGTCGAAATGTTAACGTGTGTAGGAATATCTGCAGTGTATATGGAAAATAGAAAAGGGCCAAGTATGCTTCCCTGAGGAACACCCGCCCTTATGCGTATATAAGGTGAGAATTCAGTGCCCTGACGGACTCGACAAAATCGATCCGTCAGATAAGATCTCAGTATAAGATAGTACGTATGAGGGAGGATGTTCCTCAGTTTCCAAAGCAACCCGAGTGCCAGACTCGATCGAAGGCCTTTCTAAATCAAGAAAGACACCCAAGCAATGCTGTTTTTGTTCGAGGGAAGAGGCTACATTGTCAGCAACACGATATAATTGTTGAGTTGAATTTTATTAAAAATTGAATTCAGACCTTTTAATAAATTGATATGAACTTTTTTTAAATACAAAAGTTACTTCATTTTTTGAAGAGGGTGTGTTAAAAGTAAAAAAATTAATAAAAATTCCCAATTTTTCCCTTGTTAGGTTTATTTTGGAACCACTATTATTAATTAACGTGAAAGTGGAAGAAGCTTTTTCACAAATTAAGCCCCTTCATCGGTGGTTATACATTCGCACATGACTTGTTCCGATGTTGGCATGTTTCTGCCTCAACTTTGCCGTCTTCTTCTTTAGTGTTAGTTAAAAGGTCAGTGGCAGGTGTAGAAGCCGTATAATTTGTCTTAAATTGTGACTGCTGAGAAAGAAGGGTTCCTTCACATTTTTTGAGAGATTTATGAATCTCTCCCATACCCTGGTGTTTTTGTCGAGTGTTTAAGTTTTTCTTTCTCAAGCGATTTTTTCCAGTTCCCACTTCAGCACACCCCTCGGTGCGCCTAGTTGGGGTTCCCTCGGATCAATGGGTTACCCTTTCTTTGGCTGGTACGTCAACCTTTTTTTTTATACCTTTATCAGAATCTCAAGGTAACTTTGTGTTTTCCTAGAGCCATAAGGAAATTTAGGCTGTCCCAGACTAGTTTGATGTTAAAAGCATACCCATTTGGAACCTTTAAGCTGTGTAAAGTGCAATTGATGCTTTCGTTTATAGCATATTTCTGGTGTGCCTGGTTGTGGTTCCGGTCCTCCTTTTTTGACTAGTTGATCAGCTTGTTCGTTTCCTTTTATACTTTCATAGAGCCTACTTTATGGTAACCATATTGTGTACTCCTAGGGCCATTAGGCAATTTAGGCATACTCATTTACTGCCTTTATGACTGCCTGATCGTCCGAAGTGTTGGATTGAAAGGTCTTCAAACTTGGAAGATAGATGGAACCAGTCCCAAGGGGTTTTGCTATGGTGTAATTCGGCCCTTTTACCCCCTTCATCTAATTCCTATTCCATCTTTAATCCATCAGTGTACAATGTTAGGTAAAATATATAAATCTGTGCACTTTTCACATACATCTTTAACAACCCCTGCGCACAGAGTTTGACCAGTCCATGAGCTATGGAGTAATTCCTACCCTTTACACCTACTCCTGTTCCATCTCTGTACCATAACATCGATCTAAGTTACGTTTAAATAAAAATGTGCATTTTCTATGTTACAGGTTAACGACACACAACATTCATTACTTGAAACATCCCTAAATTTAGAAAAATCAATTGAACACTAATGCTTTCGATCTGCAAGATGAATTATAAAATTATCATCTTATAAAACTTGTGAGGGGGTTGCGATAATGAAAAATTTATATTATTATGCCTATTGTTTTAAAGAAAAACAAAAATTCTAACTTTTTAACATTCTAGTCTATTTTTGAGACGCTTAAAGAAGAAAAAACTATTCAATATAATTATAAATGTTGTTATATTTTAATTTTTTATTTTTAGTATTTTTGTTATTATGTAAAAGATATTTAAGTGTTGAAAAAAAAACTATTCTCAGGGTTTTTTTGTTTTTTTAACAACCAAACTGCAATTTGAAATTGTGCTTCAACTTGGATGACGAATATGAAATCTCCCTTTTAAGCATTGATAATAAAATAAGATTTGTAACCGGCAACAAAAGACATTCATAAAAATCCTATATTATATAACGTAGATATTTTAATTAAGCATTGCAAGTATTATTAGCAAATGTAATTGTTGAAATGTAGTTAGGCTAAAACTTCCAATGCTAAATAATAATTAATCACAGGTTGCTTCCAACGTCAATAAATATTCATACTGCTGTTCATGTTGAAAACAAATTGTCTTCATATTCCAAAACACAGGTTTTGTTTATTTATGACAAAGGCCCAAACAGTCTAAAGATAAAGGGGAGGAAACAAGAAACAACTGAAAGCAGTTACCTCATTGGAAAATTTCATTAGAACGGGAACGTCGGTCGTCAGTAAACAGGAAGAAGACTTAAGACTGATTTTAATAAACCCATGCCATTTATGAGCATAAAACAAATACTTAAAACAAAAAATAAACCTATTATATTGATCAATCCAAACTGTTGTAGTTTGTTCAACCCTTTCACTTTTCCTGTTCCACAAATGTTCTCGTGTTTATTTATGTTTGAAAAAGCTGTTTCATCTTGGGATGACATCAACTAACAAAACATGAAAGATGTATGTGTTCATTTTTATTACGTCGGATCAGAAGGTTGTGAGATAGACGCCAGTTGTATCTCTGTATTTTGTAACGAATCCTAACAAAACTGATTATTGATTTATAAGTTTAATCTCAAATCTGCAGGTCTCGAGAATCACCCACCCCAAGTGTTGGCAGTCTTATTCGTCCAGCAGTCGAGGTGGGGTTCCTAGGGCTTCAACATTACACTAGACCTTCGCACTAATAAATACATTCACTTTCAACTCAAACATTACTACATACAATAAAACAATCCTGTTTCCTCCAAGAATGGGAATAGAGGACCCAAATACAAGCTACTGTGCTTAAAGGCAATTCTCATTTCAGGTAGCAAATTCTACGTGCTCTTAAACGAAGCCAAGTAACTATACCTTCCAATTACTTGGGATTTCTCTACATGCCGGACATACGCGGTCAACGTCGTATGGCCTATCCTTAATCAAGTAAGGATGACCATTCTACGAGGGCCACTGACATTGCCACTTTCTTTTAGTCACGTTTTTAATGCATATTTAGCGTCAGAGGGCCGGATCGCCGTGGTTAAAATAAAACAAATATATTTTTTTTTAAATATAAAAATAACTTAAGTCTCATCTTCACCAAAGTTTTCCAGAAAATATTGCAATTTAAAAGCGTTGATCATGATTTAAACGACCATGGCAACTATTAAACAAATTTATTTTGCTTCAACCATCTCCAATCGGTCGTGAATATGTAAAACACAACCGAAGTGTTTTACATATTCAATATAGGTCATTTGACTTCTGAAGTTAGCATCGATAAGTTGAGTCACCAAAGTCCACTCTACCTCTCGGTCGATAGCTTGGAGGATATGATTTCCAGAAGAGGGATCATACGACTAAGAATAGTCCATACTAAGTTGACAGACGGACAAATACTTTTAGGCGAAAGCTCGCGTCTGTGTTTGGTATGTAGAGAAGATTACTCGATGTATCTCATTTAATTGAGGAGGTCATCCATTAAAGAGGCTGGGCTTGAGTGCCATCCGAAATGAGAATTGTGCTTAAGCCCGGCACTATTTGGTTCCTCTGTTCCAACTTTTGGAGGAAACAGGGCTGTTTTAGTACTTACAGCACTGATAGATATTTGGTTTTGTGTTTCCTTTTGTACACAGCTTGAACGTATTTATTAGCGTAAATGTGTAGTGTGAAAGAGCCAATGGTGGAATATTTAGTGTTTCACCACTCTACTTGAGTGAAGGGTATGTAAATAGGAAACAATGTACTTAAGATTGAATGAGAGTGTGAGTGTGCCTAGATTAAAAACTGTTTGCGTTCGGGACTGAAATGACCGGCTTGTTGACAACCCGTGGAGATAAGACCGAGTTCTTACCCGGATTGCCAAAACACCGAAGAGGGTGATTTTTATGAGCAGTCATAAGCTCAATGTGTATATGTGCAGAAGTGACCTTATAAAAATCAACCTACGATTTTACCCTCAATTTCCCCTTTCAGATAATAAAACCACGTTAAGAATTGTAAATAAACTTTATTGCAATTCTTTTAGGCAGGGTATACAACTTGAAATTTAAGAGATATTAATAATTAGTACACAAATAAAGAGGGATTAAAGTTTATCAGTCGGGGAAATCCGACTTTTTTTATTAATGCCACTCCAACACTGATTTTTATATGCTTTCATGTACGAAAACAAAAAAGCTTTAGTCGTTTTATCTTATCGAATTCATTTGGCCTTTTGACTTTCTCCTTTTTTCATGATCTGCACACGTTAGGACCGTGGTTAGCGAGTGGTTAGGGCGTCGGACTTGTATTTGCCACGCTAGCTCTTGGGTTCGAATTCCTAGCACAGCTTTTTAATTGAGACTAGTATGAAAGAAGTATGTAAAGTGCTTAACTCCGCAACAGCGTAAAACTTTCCTGTATGATCTGCCCACGAATGTCTACGACAAAATACGTTTAAAGAATCTTCTTTTATTACCGTTTCAACAGTCAGTTATCTTTACAGGCCTTTCATGGCGTGAACTGATACTGTCAAATCAGATGCAAAACACCTTAGGTGTTCTGGTAAGATGCTGTGAGACATAAGTTTAACCATAAACCTTAAGGTTTTTTTAAGAAAACATATCTCATACCTCTTCTTCAAATATTTCAAGTCTCATACTTTTGTGGCGCCTTCTGCAATTACCGCGGTACCCGCTAGGTGTCATGTCAGTTTTGGTATGGTCTCGCCCTCCAATCTGCAGCCAATCAGAGTAGAGCCATTCCGTATATAAGCAGGGGCACTACCCCATTGACTTGAGACGCGTCTCCCCGACGAGGTCTTAGTGTACACCACATACTCGTGTTCTTGATGAGATCTCACTGTACCCCACAGACTCGTTTACTTGATGAAATCTCACCTTATACCTTGAGACTCGTCTCCTCGGCGAGGTCTTAGTGTACACCACATACTCGTCTACTTGATGAGAACTCACTGCACACCACAGACTCGTCAACTTGATGAGATCTCACCTTATACCTTGAGACTCGTCTCCTCGGCGAGGTCTTAGTGTACACCACATACTCGTCTACTTGAGATCTCACTGCACACCACAGAATCGTCTATTTGATGAGATCTCACCTTATACCTTGAGACTCGTCTCCTCGGCGAGGTCTTAGTGTACACCACATACTCGTCTACTTGAGATCTCACTGCACACCACAGAATCGTCTATTTGATGAGATCTCACCTTATACCTTGAGACTCGTCTCCTCGGCGAGGTCTTAGTGTACACCACATACTCGTCTACTTGATGAGATCTCACCTTACATCTTGAGACTCATCTCCCGAACAGGATTTCACTGCTCACCACATACTCAAATCAGAAACAGGCACTCATTAATTTTCTACTTACTTCAATTAACTTAATTTTCTCCGCTTTTTTCCAGCATCCTCAAACAATTAATTAAACTAATTAAATCATTATGTGATAAACTTATAACACTATAATGCCATAGGATTTCTAATTTTAAATAAATCAATCTCTGTTAGAAATGAAGGCGTTTTCCGTTTTGACAGCGTTATTTCCTGAGTTCACGTTTCCTGCATCCCCCATTTTCAACAGTAATTAATATTAATTAATTAGCTGTCCTGTTTCCTGCTGACTCCTTTGATCCTTACAATTAAACGTTCATTTTTTAAAAGCTATTATCGCAAAAGGTGACTACCGATTTAGTGACTGAACCCCTCTGATAATTCCCAATTAGCACTCCCATCATTTCCATTTTTGCGTAAGTTTTCTATTTGTCTAAAACAATCTTTGATAGCAATTTTTTTTTTTTGCAAAAAAACTTTTTTTTATTTTATATATTTATTACATGTCTAACATTATTTGCAATGTGTAATGAATTAAATTTACAAATGTCATCATGTGTCATGAAGGTGTTGTTTTGTGGTTCCCCCAGCTAATAGCTATACACGAGGACTAATCCTCATTTAGTAGGTCGCAAGGCCATCTACTCTTCAGTTGTATGGAGGGATTAGGGGTGGTTTTTATTGGATAAGGATTGGGGTGAGAGGAGAGTTTATTGTGAAAAGTGGAAAATGTTTTGGGAATTATTTTAACATGTAGCCAAGCAAGGAGCATTGACCATGATTCTGAAAACATTGGATTGGACGGACTGCATTCTCTGGATGTTGGATATTAAATATATTTTAATTACTTTCTGCTTTTGTACTTCTCATTTTGTCCTAATTACTTTAACCAGTTAATTTTTCTTTTGTATATGTAATTTAAATACCACCCAAATCCACCCTATGTAAATTCTCTTCCATCAACATGAATCACAAGCCTAAAAATCAATTGGCAATGTTTCCTCCCATCTTATAAGTTCTATACTTAGGAGAAAGTACTTGAGAAGCTACTCTTATCCAGCCTGCAAGAAATTCTATCCATCACCATCATTGACCTCCAATCCATTCTGTATATATCACTCTATAATCCATCGAATTGCTGTTGTAGACATTATCGCAACACTCTTAGAGCGTAAGCAGTTTTACCCTTCCATTCTAAACATGTCCCAAGCATTAAATCAAGTTTGCCACCAGGCTGAAACTCAAATCCTTCCTTTCTAGTGCATGCTATCTCATCCTGAAATCCAACCTATGTGATCGTTTCTTCCATTTTATCTACCAAACGATCTAACCTTCATGGTGTTTCTCAAGGGAGTACCCTAAGCCCGTTACTTTTCAGCATATACCCGGCAGACTTCTCTACACAATACAATACACTGACATCACTGTATCCATCCCACCAAGACCACCTCTTTACCCTAGAACCACAGTTTCGTAAATTCCGAGTAAAAATAAATGAATTACTCCTTTATCTTAAACAAAAAAAATTTCAACCTGTTTATCTGAAAATTCTACTTTGTACAGCTCATCATTTCAAATTCTGTACGTAGAAAGGGTGGCTCAAATTCACTCTTAACAAGCCACCTAGGTTTTTTTGTGTTACCTGTTTATTGCATAATTGGATACAGCAGTAGATTAATAATTGTAATAAGAAGAGATTTGAATTTTCAATAAGCTAAAAAAAAAGTGAAACTGAAAGTTTTGTCCTATTGTTTACCTCTCTTAAATAGAGCCTTTGGTTAAATATAGACGCAAACAGAAAACAGTTGGAACCACAAAGTTATGTAAACAAACAAACTACATTAGCATTAAAACTATTTTAACTATAAATTTCAGAAAATAGCCAACAAATTAAATATCTTAGAGAACGTCAAGTTAATATATTGAATATTATTTGATTTCCAGGATCGATACTGTAATTTTTGACTCCTCATTGACAACACCTCAAAAGGAAGTTGGACTAAAACCAATTTCATCGTACAACTTCCACGTCCAGAGTCTTAAATTACATATAATTTTTTTAAATTGTATTTAACAATTAATTGTGAAGTATTTTATACTGGGTAAATTGACAAAAAAAAAGAATAAAAATTGTACAAGCATAATTCTTTAGACAAAGTAACAAGCAGTTGAAATTAACAATAATGTATAGACTGTTTATACATATAATTAACCTGGCTGAAAACTAATCTTCTTCATGCACCATTCTTTTAATCATATTTAATACTTAATTGAGGATTTATAGTAATTTTTTTGTATAAAACTTATAATGTAGTGTATAATTTGTTATATAGAAATTAGAGGCATCATCTGGCAACTTGTCAAATTAAATAAGTTTTAGTATGCACATTAATAAAAATGATCGTAAATAAGGTTCTTTGGGAGCGTTTTACAATTTAAAATGGATCACCAGCAAAATGTGAGTGTTTTAAATACTCAAAAATTAATGATCTTTAAATTACATCTGTGATTCATAAATGACTTCATTTTAATTAATTAAAAATTACATGTTTGTTAAGTAAGCAAGCACAAATATCCATATTTTTTCTGTTTTCAGAAATAATTTAGCAAATGATGAGTTAACTATTTATATATGCAAGGAAAAGGGATAAGAAACTATTGATGATGGAGGCAAACAATATAAGCTTATTTGAACCATTTGAAAAAACAAGGGACGGATTTTTGTTAGTGCCACTGGAACTGTGCCATTTGTGGAATTCCTCCAAGCCGTTCAAATGCCTGGAGCATTCTCCCAAAACAAATTCATCGGCGAAAATCCGCACCACTGTTCTCGGCATCATGGCCATGATCAGTCTGATCGGAAACATTCTGACGATCTTGAGCATAAGGAATTCTAGGACTTGCAGGAACAGAAAGATAAATCAATCTTGGTCCTCAGTTTACGCACTGATTCTACATCTCAGCGTTTCTGACCTTTTGGTGACCGTTTTCTGCATTGCAGGCGAAGCAATGTGGTCCTTTACAGTCGAATGGAAGGCTGGCAACATTTTGTGCAAACTTTTCAAATTTTCAGAAATGTTCTCGCTCTATCTTTCTACATTCATACTTGTCCTGATAGGTCTTGACAGGTTCGTTGCGGTCCGGTACCCTATTAAAGCATTCAGCACTACAAAACGTTGTTCAAAATTTGTAATAGGTGCTTGGATTCTTAGTTGTCTGTTGAGCCTACCTCAGGTAACTACAAATTATCTAATTAAACACATATTGCTTTAAACAAATGCACAGGCTATTATAAGGCCCAAAATTTTTATTTCCAGTTGATTATATTTCATGTTGGGATTGGCCCTTTCTACGAAGACTTTTATCAGTGTGTTACTTATGGATTCTATACAGAGCCATGGCAGGAACAACTGTATACAACATTTAGTTTTCTTTGTATGTTTATGGTACCTCTTCTTATTTTGGCTGCTTCATACACATCTACTATCATCACTATTTCAAGTTAGTACAAAAAATAATTTCAACAGGATTACTTCTTTGACAAAAAAAAAATTGCTACCGCTGTTGAAAAATTAATAGAATTATTTATATTTATAAACTTGATTTTTAATTAAAATAATATTTTTTTAATACATATAATAGAAGAATGCAGTAGTCGAGTGGTTAGCATGTTAAACTCTCATCTCGTAGACCCACAGTCGCAGATTTGATGACGGGAATCATAAAGTCATTTAAAAATATATAAAAAAACATATAATCTTTCACGTTTAATATGGATTTTTGACCTTTACATATGCATATAATTGTATTTACTGGAAAAATCTATTCCAGAAAGTGACAAATTCTTCAGCTTTGAGGGCCCAAGGAGAGTTATAGATTTGGATTTCAACCGAAGACGCCTTATACACAAAGCGAAGGTCAAAGCATTCAGAATATCATTGGTTATTGTCGTGACATTCGTCGTGTGGTGGACACCTTATTACATTATGATGATCATCTTTGTTTTTCTCAACCCTGATAAATATGTAAGTAGCAGCCTGTCAATATTTCCATCTATCTTCTTCCATAAATATGGAAATATGTAATCCTTACAATTTGTATACATCATTTAGAGTGAATTTCGATTAATCTTTTTACTTATTTTATTAAAGATTAAATAATTCCCACATCAACGTTAAATAAATGTTTGATTTCGAGATTCTGTAACAATTTATCATGGAATTATCTTTCTTTAATTTCTGCAAATGTGTGGAAACATTTGTGATGTTTGTTTTAAGTTTGGTATTCAAATTATTTTTTTCATTTTGAATCTTACCAAACATGCCTATACTAGATGGGTTGGTCTATCAAACATGTTTCACTATCTTCAGTATGTCTGTGTGATTATGTTGTCAGGCCTCTTTCTTAACATCACAGACAAACTGAAGATGCATTAACGACCAAATTTCCTAATTAATTTAGTTTAATTCTTTCAGCTGTCGGAGGAATTACAAAAAGGAATATTTTTCTTTGGCATGTCAAATAGCTTGGTTAATCCTTTGATCTACGGAGCGTTTCACCTTTGGAAACCTTCAAAAAATAAAAAGACAAGATATGCTTCATTCAAAATATTCGACTACTCTTGCTTGCAGGAGTGATTTTTTTTCGAATTTTCGAAAATTTAACAAAATCAAACTTTGATTGTTTGTGTTTAAATCTATTGTTTTATGATTTATTAATTTCTTTCTTGTTAAAAAGTCAATATTAAAAATAAAAGTTTGATAATGTATTAATGTAAAATCAATTTACTTACCCTAATCAAAACTGGTATTTCACTGAGTATATTATCATTTGGATACACCTAAGATTAAATATGAAGGTTGAAGGATCAACTTCATAGTTAGACAAAAAGCATAAGGTAAGAAAAATTTGCCTGATTTATTTAAAATTAATACAACATTTTAAAAAAAGATAAGAAATATTCATTACGTGAATTTAGCTAGTGAAGAATTACAAGCTTACAAATTTTGATGGCTTATAACTATCAATTTTATACAACTGGTTCAATAAACTAATAATTAAAAAGTCAAATACTTATATATTTTAAATAATTTAATATTAAACTATTTAATTATGACTGACATTACCTAAATTGTGATTGTTGTGGTGTTTTGCTGTTAATTATTGGACTTAATTGACTTAGCTCACTTGGATTTTATCTTTTGCTTCCACTGGCGTGATTTGAGTTTCTTCTCCCGTGTGCGGTGGAGATGAGTCATTAGACTACATAAACCTATTACATTTAAAAATTAAAAACACAAACTTACTTATATATTACATAATAAATATAAAAAGCATACACTTACCAGGGAAAAAGAAGAAGAGAAGATAAATTCTCATTGCTGTGGGAGTGTGGAAAGTGACATTCCAGGCATTTGGCAGAGAAACTACAAATCTTTCAGTTTCTTCAAAATATGGAATGTTTCTGTGAATAAAAGAAATTTAAATCAACACATTAATTACACTGTAAAACGTAAATCTTTTTGAAAAACCAAGCTATGATTAAACTACTACCAGCTAAAGAAATTTTAATTAATACATGAAAAAATATATCGTTATTAATTATAAAATAATTATACACTGTCCACAATAAAATGGTGCACTTTGGAATTTTTATTTTTAGTTTTTTAATTTGAATGTTTAGGCAATATTTTTTGTTTTACTACTTTAAAAATGATTTGATAATTATAATTAAGTGGAAAGATTTGTTTATGTCACCAATTGTGATGCAAAACTGGCTTTTAAATTTTTTAACATTTTTTACGAGGATATTTCAACTAAGAGGTGATATGATCCCTCGGGTAGCCAGTAATTTTGCATAGGAAATAAACTGAACAGAAGAATGTTATGTTTTCAGACAAGTCCCAGTTTTCTCTCCACTTACCTAATGGACGTCTTCAACTTTGAGCAGGTGTAATGCAACACTGACAAAAGAGGGTCGTTCAAAGGTGGTTCAGTCATGGTGTGGAGTGGAATTTCTTTGGATGCAAAAATGGAGTGGTGTTTTTAATAGGACATCGCTTAATGCAGAATCTATGTGGCGGGCATTCTTAAGGCATAAGTGGTGCTATTTGCTGCTCCAGTTATTGGCGAGCAATGATTGTTTATGCAATATAATGCAAGACCACATGTCACCACCCTTATGTAGTACTTTTGTGATGTCAACCCTCTAAGATTGCCAGCCTGTAGCCCTAATTTGAACCACTATGACCACTTTTGGGACGAGCTCAGATGTTGGATAAAACAAATACATAGCCCCCCCTTACAACCTTAGCTAAGCTGGAAGTTAGATTAATTGAATTTTGAGATGAAATACCTCAAGATGTGGTTAAAGGTTTAATTATGAGCATGAGTGGGCTTTTTTCTTTGCTTTTTTAAAATTAACCTTAATCTAAAAGACTATTATTAGAGTTATTAATTATTACTAAAACTATTATTAATAAAAGCAAGAGGAAGTATCACACATAAGGTTTTTATTTTTGTTGTACCATATTTTATGTTCATACACAAAAGTGATTTTATCTTCTTTTTTAATTAATTTTTTGTTTTCGAGAGGTATTTTCATTTTCACCAGTTAAAACTGTGCTACTTTTTTTGTGGAGCAGCGTAAATTTTTTTAAACAGTTGTACAAGTTGTTAATAATTATCTTTGTTATTTACACACTGCTTAAGCCATTTTGCAATTCATAATTTATAAATGATTGTATAACAATTACCTGATTATTATTATACCCTCGCACAAAGCTCCTAAAGGGTACAATGGTATCCACATTGTGTACCTCAGCCAAGTTAGAAGCCCAAAGCTTTTGTTATAAAGTTCTGCTATGTAGTAGGGATACCTGGAAGTTAAATTATTTATATTAAAAACATTTAACACACTCAAGTTAGAAATATTGGAAATAGTTTTTAAATTTATATAAACAGGGTGAGTTTAACTTCTGTTTTCCCCCCTATATAAACTTTTATTAGAGCATTTCTGTGGGAAAAAAAACAGAAATACATAAAAATGTTATTTTTTGTCTAGTTTCTTATGAAATAAAAAGTTTTGATCAACTCTCCAAGATCACGGGAAGCAGATAGGAATTTAACTATTTCAAATGGCAAGACACTCCCCGAAAAAATTATAGGCCACCCCACATTTTCTTTATTAGTTGTACAATATTAAAATTTAACCAAAACATATTAAAAAAAGTTAATTACAAAAGTACAGTTATAATCCTTCTTTCATTCTATCTGATCCTTTGTTTATGAATATTTGGTATTGTAATATCAATATTTACATGCGACAAAGGTATAGGCCACTCTCAGTCTTTATCTAAATCTTTTGTGAAAATAATCTTTAATTTAGTATTGAGTGCTTTACAGCCACTTCTTAAATAATATATATGCTATTTTTTTTCTTTTAGATGTTTACAATGCCAAGAGGAAAAGCACTATTGGAGAGTGAGAGGCTGTTATTAATACATTGCTGGAAAAAAAATGTTACAGTTTCAAAAAGTGCTTCAACTTTGAATAGACATAGGCAAGTAATAAGAAATTTCATTAGGCTCGGCGATGATTATGGCTGGAAGAAGAGTACAGGATGGCCTATGGCAACAACTTCTAGAGAACGGAGGGCCATTCTACAGCCTCTACGATAGAAATGTGCTTACAAGCTGGAGTTTCCACGAACGTCCGAAATGTCCAACGCATTCTGCAAAGAGCCTGCCATTTAAATCAGATGAAACTCAAATCCAAACCCCCTCTTTCAAAGGCCTAAAAAGCCAATAGGCAGCGATTCGCCAATGAACATGTTTCATGGAAAAAGAGGTAGAGAAAAGTAATTTTTAGTGATGAAAATTTTTTAATTTCAATGGTCCTGATGGATTTTGATATTATTTTCATGACCTACGAAAGGAAAAAGTACTGATGAGCCGACGTTAAATGGGTGGAGTTGGTGTCATGGTTTGGGCTGGGATTGGTTACTGTGGGAAAATTGAATTAAAATTTTGTTCAGCAAAAATAAATGGACAGAAATATATGGAAATGATTAATAAACCAATTGTTGAACAAAGTGAAGAGTTGGCAAGAGGAAGAACATCGCTGTCCACACAGTGCGTATAGTAAAACATTTTCCTGAGATAAAAAATATTTACATTTTGTCAGCCAGATCACCTAACCAGATTATTATTGAAAACTGTTGGGGAGAGCTAAGTAAATTAATTGCTCATGGTGCCAAAAGAAAAATTTGACAATTTCTTCAAGCAATATCGATTAATAGGACGCTCCGGAAATAGTTCATTAAAGTGTAATTCAGTCTAGTGCAAATTTCGGTTATTTGACATACTTGTTATGTTTCTCTTTCGTATTATGAGCAATTAATTTGCTAACAATTTAAATGATAAATAGATTTGGAGTGCTGGTAATCACAACAGTTTAGGCGTAGGCACAGCACTCATCACGGCAAGGTAAAGGTCCCGGGTTTGAATGCAGCAGTGCTAAAACTACATACAAATGAACTTTTTTTCAAAAACACCAGCACCCCGAGTTCATATAACCTTGCAGTTGAAATACCATTACTCTCAGAGTTTTTTCCAAAAACAACTCATAAAAAAAATATGTAGGGCAGAAGTTAAACTCACCCTGTTAATGAGTTGTGTATGAAATAATTAAAATTCTATAGTATGATCATCCCGCTCATAACAAAACCACTTTCCAACAGAAATTAGATTTACAATTTTATGTTTTTCCATTTACAGTGAAACATTGTTTAATTGAACTAACAAAGGGAAGCTACAGCCGTCACCAATTTCAATGAAACTTTTTTTTAGAAATATTGGGTTGTCCGGAAAATAATGCAGGATTTTAAGTTTTCATTAAAAAAAAATCTATATAAAATATTCTGTTTACGTTTACAGGATTACTCATTTGTATGAATGTCAACACTTATTAATCCTCTTCCAAATGATATTGTTNGAGAGTATGGGAAATTATTTTGATTAAAGAACATTGCTTTAAAGTAACTAGTTTCTTTTTTTTTGTTTAATACCAAAATCCTGCATTATTTTCCGGACAACCCAATAGTACGCACAAAAATATTAGAAACTTGTCCAAGGTCAGGAGCTTAGGAAAAAATATTTTAAGTGTAAAAATGACCAAAATTGTGTTCACAAAGCTGCTACTGCTCACATCTCTCTCATTCAATATGAATAACATTTTAATGGATATTAGTACATTTTTCGACTTATATCATTGAAAAAAGTTTCATTACAATCAAATATTGTTCCTAGCTTCCCTGGGTAAGTTTTTGTTCAACAAGACATTTTTCATGAATATGTGAAGCATATAATTACTACAATCTGTCATCCGCACCTTTTATATATATTTTTTTTTATAATACAACAAGACCATGAACTATGACGGTAACAACTAAAGCAATATTTTTTTATGAATAAACTTTTGGATTTTCATTCATGATTATCAATTTTAATATATATTTTTCTTATATCTATTAATTGATCGTACCTTATAATTTCAATAGTTGACCAAATGATGATAAGCCATGACACGACCGGCTTTCTCCACATTCTCTGCTCTGGCTCAATCATAGCAAAAAGTACAATGCATCTGCCTGTGACTTGCATTAAAGCTTTAGTAGTACTTCCTTTGACGTACCCGAACAACGGATGCATGACTTCAAGATACTGGATGAGCTGGGCAAATTTAAGCACTGCTCCTACTACTTCATAAGTATCTTCCAAAGAATCTGGCAACAGAAAGAAATCAAAAACATGAATTTTTCAACATCAGGATAGTTTTCTGTACCTATTACACTTGTAAAGACCTCTCATATATTTTTTCCCCCAAATAGATTCTAAATATTTTATAGCCACTTCATTTTCATTAGCAAATCACGTAAAATGTTACATGTCAGATCTAAGGGAACCGAAAAAAAATATTTTTTTACAAAATCACATTAATAAATAACAAAAATCTAAACATACATGATTAACTAGCTAACTATCCAAACTTCTTATTCAAAAAATGTATATTCTACTTGTAATTTTTTACCAGAAGAAAGCTTGTACTACATTGCTGTTTACAGATCTGAACCCCCACATTTTTATGTGAAAACACACTCAAAGACAACAAAAAAAAAAAAAAAAAACCATCCCTAACCATCTCTATATATTGTTGTTTATTTCAAACTATATGTACTTTTATTATTATATTAATTAAATGTTATTTTAATATAAACCAAATTAAATGTGATCCAAAAATTCATGAGTTTTCATAAAAATTATTTAATTATGAAGGTTTGACAGAAAATTCACCTAAACAATGGAAAATCATTTAATGATAGATTAATATTAATGATGGAAATTTAATACCTAGTTTTGCTCTTAATAAATGCATATTATCTCTTCTGGACTCACGAAGGGTCTTAAGCTGGGTTTCCACTGCGCAAAAATCACCCGTGCAACTGTTTTGTGAAACTTGTCTCCTAGCCTGGACTGCAAAACTTTTGGTGCAAGGATTTTTTGGGGTGAGCCGACCAGCTGTGGGTTTTTTAGTGTGCATCAAAGTTTTTGTGTTGTTTGTTTCTCTCTGTGTAAATGCACTTGTCTCGAGTATGAGAATAAACCAGCGCTTTCGACTTTATTTGAATGTACCACAGCTACTGATTTTTGTGGGATGCTAAAGATAAAAATCATCATAACAAGAACAAGAGAGAGAGAATGTGCGGAAGGAAATGAGTATCAAAATGGGACAAAAACAATAAGTATAGCCTTGATAGCGAACGCTTATGCAGGTGTATGCTTGTCTTGCGCAAAATGATGGCTCACCTTCTTTCGCCTCTATGTTGCGTCTTATGCAAATAATTAACCCAAGATGGCGTTTCGCGAGTAATTCTCACATTTAGTTGCACTAGTGATTTTTTCGTGCAAATGAAACCCAGCTATAAGCCTCAGCCACCGTGTAATAAATAAAGAATTAGACTTCATTATGTGAAACAGAATTCCATTATTCAACAAGAGTGGTTTGAAGTTCATCAATGTTTGTTGGAAGTGGCAAACAATGTCCAAGCCATCTCTTTATTATGTCCCAGAAGTGTTCTGAGGGATTCATGTCAGGAGAATGTGTTGGCCAATTCATTGTGGTAATTCCTACATCCTCCATGTAATAGGTTACAACCCGGGTTACATGCGGTCAAGCTTTAAGAACTTCCTAAATTAGTGAAGTATCCTAAATATCCATTCTGTATGATAATCAGTTCAGTTGATTCCACCACATACCATAACTGTCTCACTGAAAAGGCATGGAACAAAGCATTCAACACATCTCTACTAACGGTCCCAGACATTTGGTTGCCACAAACCAAACCGTCATCTGTGAAGAGAACAGCCTCCATTGTACAAGTGTTCAAACGAGATGCTGATTTGCGAATAGTAGCCTTTCTACTTGATGCCTAAGAAGTAGAGAACCTTTAAACATCTACAGACAAGGCTATTGTCACGAAGCTTTCTGATGACCTTTTAGAGCTCCCCCTTACATTATTTTGGAGTTGACTACCTAACAGGGAAGCTGTTAAATGACATTCCATAGTGTGATAAAAGTAGTAAAATGATATTTTCTAGCCGTTGTACATCATGGTAGACCACTACCTTCTCTTCAATCTAGACTTCTGGTGGTCCTAAACTGCTGTAGACCGTCATGGATGGAAGAATGTGGCTCACCCAGGACTTGGGTTATGTAACAGACGCTACTTCTGCCATTGGCCAATTTCATCAAATTTATTGTTTCATCAAAGAAAATAATTTTTAAAAAACTCATTGGCCAAGTCGGCTCAGGAAAGGATGAAATTGAATTGAATTGATTTTCTTTATTTTTAATGTAAAAAGTGTAAAAAAGGTAAGGAACACTGTACAAAGGTAAATAATGAGTTATTATTATTATTAATTTTTAAGGGCGTTTTAACAGCTAAGGTTATTTCACGCCCTAACATCCAAACCTTCTATCTTAGGTTAGCTATATCCCTTCATTAATGTTATATTTACGTATTTTAAGTCAACTATTAATCTTTACACCTAGTTATTATGGAAAATGTCTTTGAGTGTATAAAAGAAATATTTTAAATTCTTTTTGATGTGTCTGCTACATGTTAGATGAATTATTGGGGGGGGGGGACTGTTACAAACAAAAACATACCTGCTCCTTCTTTTGCAAAACGTACACCCATGACAATCAGAATGTACATAAAAAACACAAACTGGGTCAAATTGTAAAACACTAGATACACTTTTTTGATATCTTCTGAAAAAATAACAATATATTTTAATGTGATATTATGAATTATATATGAAACACAACTTTAGAACAACATACCTTTTACATATCCGAACTCTTCTTTTTTCAATTTTTCATACAGTTCTGGATAGTCACCCATTATGTCTTTAGTATTCGCTACATTAGAATTTGAATTATTAGCATCTGAAAAATCTTCATCCTCACTTCTCCACTTTTCAAAATCAATCTGAAAAATAAAATTGCTCCCTTGTTTTAAGCATTTTAACAATATTCCAAGATTAAAATGTGATAAATTACCAGATTAGAAAACATTATTCATTGTTTAGATTAAAAAACATGATTAACTATCATTCTTCTAATAATAGCCATTTTCAATGCCAAAATCAAGCAATTTTGTTTAAATGCTTTTTTTTACATTGAAGGAAATGAATATCCAATTCTCTTCATTAGTTAGAAAATTCAATACGAGACACAATTTAAAAAATATGAAGAGCAAAAAATTAATTGGATATTAATCCAATGTACTATAAAAAGTCAAAACCGAAATTTTTTTTGCTAGAGAAAATCCATGGATTCCCCAACAAATAAATTAAAAGACCAATTAAAAAGGAATTAAAACTGATGTGGGTAGAAGGTCATGTTGGCATGGGTTCCCAGCCACATAGGAATAAAACAGACAGGGTGGGCAAAGAGGCTGCCGGTAGGCCTTTTGACGCTTCCCATCTTGTACGCCCAATAGATTTTAAGGCTGTTAATTTCAATTGTAAAAAATATTGGAGAAACTACTGATTTCAGAAAAATAGAAATAAACCTGTCACACCATGGCAGGTTAAGAAAGATGCTGATCCCTTGTCCACAGTCAGGTTAAAAAGGGAAAACTGAAAAAACTATATTAGAAAACGGTCATACTAAAATACCACGTAGGCACCTGTTATGCAAGGTTAAAATAACGGTCGAGCACTTTTTTAATTGTACAAGGCTTAATATATATTTTGGCACATTGTCAGACCTGTGCATAGTCTTGGGGCACAGCAGTGGGTAATTGCTGTTCCAGGATTATATGTCTAGTTGGTGTGTGTTTGTGTTATCTGTGTTGTTTATGTGAATTTATCGGAATAATGTAATTTGTTAGCCTGAAAGAAAGCGGTTGTTTAACCCCGTCCTGAGGAACATCGATAACACTAGGGTTAATGTGTGATGTCTAGAGAGTAAAATTAAGTTATTACCAAGAATAGAGTGGGTTCGACCACACCCATAGAATATTGATTACTCTGGTGGTATGAACGCGACCAGACTTCTATGTTTGTATCGAGGGTTGATGGATTACTGGTGTCATGGCTTGGGCAGGGGTTTGTGGTTCCTGGATGGGGCGCCTGGACTCTCAAATATAAGTCCTGGTGCCCAGATGGATGTCGCCTTGCCACTTGGTATCCAGCTTGGTGGATCATTGGATATGTACATCTGTTTATATATTTATATTTTTGTTTCTATTGTATAGTTGAAACCTAAGGTACAAACAAGGGGCTTGTATTTTAGGATATCGGCATAGTATGCACATAAAAGAAAAGACAGTAACCGCATCGAGAAGCTCAAATATGTATGTACAACACAGAGGGCCAGTGATGAATTTAGCTATTGTCGATTCTTAAACCTCCCACATTATAAATAATTGAATAGTGTCAACTATTTGAAAGCTTTGATTTATTGTGTATATTGTGAGATATATGAGCATTGGAAAATTGTTTTCACAATTTTGGGAGTGAAATTGTTGAAAAATATTTAGAAGCAATACTTATTCTACTTTAATAATGTCAACAAAAACCTTTAGCCATGGTGGTTTCTGTTGGTGTTTTATCAAACGTGGCCACCAGCACGCAGAAGCCTTTTTTAATATAAACTCAACAGCTCTTGGAGATGTTTTCACTTGGTGCGCATCTTCCTAAAAAAATGAGAAAAACCATTACTCCAAATGAAAATTGTAATGTAATTTGAAAACGTACATCCAAATCTATATCCGAATAAAAATTCAAAACGAAAGAGTATGAAGTTGCGCCATGAGCCCCGACCCCTTTGGCCGACATTTGCAGAGCATCTTTGACAATGGAAATTGATTCATCCTGAAAATCAATTAGTAAATTACTTCTTGTGTAAAATATACAATTCAAAAAGAAAGGGCAACACTAATTTCAATATATTTAATATATACGTGTAAAGGCCATAACGTATTTGATTTTTTAAAATATATTTCATCTTTACAATCTAACACTAGAAGGTCTTGGTCTTGCTAAAAAAAAACCTAAGGCATAAGGAGCGTTTCTTTATTTGGTATGAGGTTGTCCAAGCACAATGTTTGTTGTAAAACCTACAAAACCTTGCTTTGTGTCACCCTGACCCTAGTTTTCTAAAAAAAAATGTGTGTGCCCTTCCAGGGTTAAGAGGATCTAATTTTCACAGCAATTTAAAGATAAAAATTGACATAATGTAAATGAATTAATTTTCATATGAGTTTCAAAAATTCAGTCTGGTTCTTGGTCTGGATTTTAGAATTTATTATTTTTATTTATGTATTATTAATAATTTGTCTTTGTTTTTTGACTAACGCAAGAGAATCTAATTTGACATCTAGTGGTGTTTAGTAGCCTTGTATTACAAAATAAATAAACAAAATAATTCTTAAAGAGATATCACTTCAGATCAAAGAAACAGTAAATGAGCAAATTGTTTCAAGAGTTTTCAACAAGTACTGATTTGGGTTTTAAGAAATAATTCAATCCACGCTGTACACTTCTAATCTATCTACCTGAACATAACAGTCTCTAATTTTGTAATTAAATTGTTTTATTTCTAGACATTTATAAATGTATGAATAATCATAGTCTTTAAAATGAGTTGTTTTAATTTGTTTTACTTCATTTTATTTCACTTATTTGTGACTACATACGCTACACATACAGTACACACTTTTTATTATATAAGTTTTATGAGTAAGGATAATATTTGAATTTCAATTTTATATTTAGGTTCGGTATTAAATAAAATATGCAAATAAATTACTTCCTCTCATTTATGAGGGCTTTACGGCATGGATGATGGGGTCAAACTTACTATACTTATGTCTTTTTGTCTTTTACATATTATTACCAATTAAAATTTCACAGACTGCTCTGAGATTTCAACCCCAAACTGCTTGCGTGGCAAATATGAGGAGTTGGACATCCTAACCAATTGGCTTTTGCAATCTTCGTTGAATCAAAAAAAGTAAAATAACCACAAGTATCAGCCTTCGGATATATTTATTGGTAAATGCCTAAACATTTCAGCCTGTTCCATGAGTCAGTCCCTCTTCAGGGCTTCAGTGCTATGCTTCTACAGCTCCTACATTGCAAGCGAAAAATCTATACATTTTTTTAAAATTGTATTATTTCACTGCACGTTCTTTTGTTTATGCAATCAAATGAACTAAATGAACCACATCCTATTCCAATTTTTTCTTTGTTGAGATCCCGGTTCAAAATAAAAAACTGAAAATTGGAAAACAAAATATTCAAAGTGCAATATTCTGCATGAAAGTTCTATTCGTCTAGGTCCTAGGCTATATTTTTTTCCCCACAAGGTTTCACAACAGCAGAGGTCATATGAACCCTCGGGGTGCCAGTGTTTTTGAAAAAAAAAAGCCCATTTGTAAGTATGTAAGTATGTCAAAAGAGAAAACATTTTGAAAATTATGGATTAAAAATAATTATAATAAGTGGAATCATCAACATGCTGATGTTATTAAAGATAAAAATGTAGTCACATTCCTTTTCATACATAAAATTCTATTCAAATAAATTTTCAGGTGAAATACAAGAATAAAATAGAATACTCGACATAAAAAAACACTATGTTCTCTTAGGTTTTTTTACTTTTATAGTTCGTAATTAAATAGAATGATAGACAAACGCTCTAATACACTACTTATTGTTATGTATTTTATATGTATACTTGTCAAAAAAGTAACATGCTGAAGTTATTAAAGATTAAAACGTAGTCACATTCCTTTTCATACATAAAATTATATTCAAATAAATTTTCAGGTGAAATACAAGAATAAAACAGAAAAATTAGAATACTCGAAATAAAAAAATCACTATGTTCGCTTAGGTTTTTTTACTTTTATAGGTCGTAATTAAATAGAATGATAGACAAATGCTCTAATACTCTACTTATTGTAATGTATTTTATTAATTATTATTATTATTTTATGTATGTAATGTATACTTGTGAAAAAAGGGCAAATCGTAAATAGAAGGCAATAGGAATTTCCACATAATAATAAAACTGTTCTGGTCTGATTACTAGTTTAAATACTATATTAACAATAAATAATATTATTTCAATGTCAATTCAACAGTACCAAATAATCAGCTATTCTGGCTGAAGTCAACATTTTATTGATTCAAGTTCGGGAAACATTGTGTGGAGAGAGAATACGTAACCAAATTCAATTTTAGGTTTGTTGGATTGACTTGGAAACCCGATTTATGATCAATGCATCATCTTGACAATACATACAAATGATCATATATTTTTTCATGTCAGTTTTGTTCAGTCGATGAAAAAATACTGAATCTAGTCAGAAGCGTACTAAAATTTTATAAACTAATTAATTGCCTTGAACAAAACTATTGAAACGTACTATGTTAGCAACAAAAATATAAAATACAATTAATTTAATATAAATTCTTATATACCAAATAAATTAACTCGGCATTTAGGAGTGCTTCATACCAAGATTTAAAGTTTTTGTTCATAAGTGCAAACTGAAGTATTAAATCCCTTGTCACACATCATATAGAGATGTAAGTCTATAAGTAAATTGTTTATTAAACCATAAAAATAAAACAATCGTAATCATCTCATTGGAAAAGCTAGTTTGCTAATTAGCCTACTAGAACACTGCATTCCTTAAATGCTGATGATCTACGTACATAATTGATAAAAAAATCCACCTTTTGATACCATAAATACCCATTTAAGAACTTTATTTGTGACATCGAGGGGGAATATTATGTATAGACATATAAATATATTTTTTTCTTTCCAAAAGGTAGATTGGGGATGAGGCCATGAAGACAGAAACATTTATTTTCTTGTCGAGCTTTCGGCAGAATATATCGTCTTCATCAGGACTTCAAAAAAAATCGTTATACTATATGAACAGGTAAATGTGTGGATAACGGATAGCCGGTAGAACATGAAGTCGAAGTCCTGATGAAGGCGATATATTCTGCCAAAAGCTCGACAAGAAAATAAATGCTGTTTCTGTCTTCATGGCCTCATCCCCAATCTACCTTTTGGAAAGAAAAAAATATACATATTTAAACTGAGAAGGCTGATCAATCACCAAAGAAAATATAGACATATATATTTATTCTTCTATTTGACCTTCCACACAAAAAAAGGACTATTGGACTACATTCCACATCATCATTTACACCAAAGACACAACAGAATTGTTATTGTAACAGCGGGAGATTTTAATTATAATGTACTAAATAGCAAATCATGAATATTAAATTATTTATTTTGTCCAATTTTACTTGTATGATGGAAATGTATAATGAAAGCCTTAATTTAGTTTTAAACAGTTTTTTATATATCAGGGATATACCAACTTAAATCAGTTTAAAAGACTAATATGCCTTACATCAACGTTTCTCCCATCAAATATTGATCAACCTTATTGAATCATTTTTAAAAATCAACCTCAATCAGTCCGATATAGCAATATAAATATGACTTTTTGCAAATAAAAATTAGTGTATCCACTAGATCCCATTGTTTGGTCAAAACAATTTATATTAATTTTCTTTTACTTAGAATTAAGAATTTAATATCCACAAACAAATTTTCTTTTACTTAGAAGAATTAAGAATTTAATATTCACAAATAATTTATTATATAATCACATTTTTATAATTGGTTTTGTTGACAACTGTTACACTAATAAGGGAATATTCCTTTTACCTAAAGACATCAAAAACTGCCTACATGAGTTGAGACTGGTTTATCAAAAATAATCTTTGCTTAAACAGTTCAAAAACCCTCGCTATGAGCTTATGAAATCTGTCAGAATTTGGAGAAAAAGCTCTGTTAAGTTATTAAGTGCGTGTAGACCCAAGGCTAAACTATATTTCTCATTGTGACTATAATGATAATAAAAAATATATAAAATAATAAAATAAAAAATAAAAAGCTGAACAAATCTCTTTTGAATATTTTTCTCTTAAGAAGCGTGAGTGCAAAGGTGCCTGAAAAGTCTTCCTAACTGCACATTTTGGCTGTTTTCAATCTGTGATATCTGATGCCATTTTGGAATGGGCTACTAGCTGGTTGGTATTAACTAGCCTGATGGAAATAGAAATGCATTCATCAAATTAAGAATACTTACTCTACCATCTTCATATTAAAATGTGTGACTTCCGCTCATGATAACCTTGATTAATTTGCATTGGTGAATGAAGTACATGAAGACAATACTAGATTCAAAAATAATTTATTCGTAAAGAGTAACAGGCTGAAGGGAACAAAAAAATAGCTCAAATTTTTGGATAGTTGTATTCTTTAATGCAACACTATCCAAAAACTAATTTTAAAATAATATTTAAAAAGCATATAAAACAACTTTTGATGAGTTTTTAATGCTTGGGGTCAAGCAACACCTACTTTTCTTGAAAATGAAGGTTTATAGAAAAAAATTTAAATGGTAAGCTCCATGGTTTTTTTCCCAAGTGTCTAAAATAAGTGATCTAAATATTTTTTTGAAAGTCCTTCTGAATCTACCACCACTATATTCATATTTTTATCCAGGGAGAGACATGAGCTAAAATTCAAAGGCTAATGCAGGGACAGGACAGAACATTCTCATAACAATTGGCAACTAAGCTTTGAGGGGGTTTCAGGCAGACAAGGTTCTGGACACACCTGTTAATGTACCCCAAAATTCAGAGTTGACAAAAAATTATCAATTAAAATATCTGGTAGAGCAGAATGTTGGGTTGAAGTCACGATAGCTCAAGTGGTTCGCAGTAGCTATTGAGGCGAAGGTCGTGGGTTCGAATCCTGCACGAATATATTGGGTTGTCCGGAAAATAATGCAGGATTTTAAGTTTTCATTAAAAAAAATCTATATAAAATATTCTGTTTACGTTTACAGGATTACTCNGGGAAATTATTTTGATTAAAGAACATTGCTTTAAAGTAACTAGTTTCTTTTTTTTTGTTTAATACCAAAATCCTGCATTATTTTCCGGACAACCCAATATAAGGAAAGTAAAGGATGATGGAGGAATATCAAGCACTCCACTACCCCAATTGAGTATGTAAATAAGAAATAATGTAATTAAGAGTGAGTGAGAGTGTGGATGGGTTTGGTTTTAGGAACCGACTGTGTTGGAGGCTCAAATGATCCAGCTGTTGATCGACAGGCTCTGGAGCCCAACCTCAGCAGATGGACGGATAAGACCGAGGTTTAACCCTGGACTGTCAACACCCAATGGGTGATTCTCAAGGTCAGTCTGTAATTTATTGTAAATTAGAAAAGCTGGAGTGTGTATAGTGATAGGCTCTGTACACGCATGTTTTTGCATGAACAGATCTTTTTAGGCTATTTCTATTAAAACAATTGAAATAATTAATCAATCACTAAGCTGCTTAATTAATAAAAATCCAACTCTTTTGAGTTACCAAATCTAATGGTTAGTTACTTACAACCCAGACGATACTGGGTACTTCTGTAATAGGAATGTGGATAGGGATTTAGAAAGGTCAAATACAAACTTAAATGACACACGCTTAGAACGATTATTGACAGAAACAAACAAAATTTATTTTGGGTTATAAACATGAATTGATTTTTTTTTTAAAGAAACAATTCACCATTTTAAATTAACAAAATATAATAGCACAATGTACTTTTACAAGGGCACTAATTAGCATAGTGAAACAAAGCATTTAACATGCAAACGATTAAATTATAGTTAGCTAAGTAGCAAATAAAATATATATAAAAACAAATTAAAAATCGGCAGAATGACGACACTCAAGACTGACTCAACTTACTTTAATGTCTTTGAGATCGACTTTTAAAAAGATGTTCGCCGAATCTTGGGCCCAGTAAACGAAAGGGCTTGGAGAAAGCATTTTGTACAAAATTCGATTATGAATTAAGATAATTTCCCACAAGCAGGTAAGACCTCTTCACGGCGTACGATCCGAGTGCACGTTTTTCAAACGCATTGCTTTTAAATCGTTTGAAAACCTTTTGTGAGATTATAGAGGATCTTAACAGTGATTTCTCATCTCTAAACGACAAAGAACGAACCGACCCCAGAGACCTGCATAGAGATATAGAAGTAGGGAACATGATGACGTCACTGAGTTTCGACGAACATGTTTGAACTTGGCAAATCTTTTGTGAGAAATTCAAGAAAAATTAATCATTAGGGATATTATTAGGAAATAAACATATATTATATTATGTGTGTTTTTTATTGACCGGATGTTCAATAATTTGTTGAAGTCGTGAGAAGCGGTCAGGAATAAAGAATTTTAGAAAAACACCTTTTTCATTTTTTTGCCGACGTTTCGACTTTAATTCGGGTCATCTTCAGGGCTTGGGTGAATTTCAAAATATAAGTTGATAAAAAAAAAAAACAATACAATTATATAATAATTACAATATATACAAATATGTACAATGTACATACAATTATATAATATTAAGTAAATTTATATTTTGAACTAAGTATTTTTTTGGAATGTCATGAGCCAGCTTTGGATTATTTTGCCTTTATCTTTATTTATTATTATTATTACTTATGCACACCTATATATATACATGTACATATATACATAAATATACATTTTTTTAAAATTTTATTTATTAATTTTTTTTAATTACCACGCCATGGAGGATGGAGGAGACACTGCAGTGAAGCCAGCGGTGCGGGCAAATTACCATATGCATATCGATTACTCTGAATATAGTTGATTAGCGTGAATGAAAAGGCATATCCCCAATTACCTTATGGAATATCGAACTCTCTGGGGTAGTGTGAATGTACCTGACTAGCGTGTATGTTGAGGATCATCCCCAATTACCCCGAGGAATATTGAGTACCCTGGAATAGGGCGAAGGAATACGTGATTGCAATAATAGCGCGAATAGAGGGGCATATCCCCAATTACTCTGAGGAATATCGAATTACTCTGGGGTAGTAAGAACAAAGTCTGTAGTGCGAATGTAATAAAAAGCGAGAATAGGGTATACCCAAAATTACCCCTAGGAACATTGAGTACTATAGGACACTGTGAATGAATGCGTAAATGTAATTTATTAGCGCGAATGGCAGGGTTTATCCTAATTACCCAGAACAATAATTAGTTTTAAAATTTTCATAACAACGTATTGGAGAAATCCATATACGATTGCGGCCATAATTGCCCTTATTAATCATGTCAATTAATTATTCTTTTTATTACAAGGTCTTGGTTGAGATATAAAACATAAGTATTGAAGAAACTAAAATAACAATATTATCAAGTTATAATATTTTTTTAAAATAAATCAGTAGATTTAAAACGCGAGAAAGACAATAAAAGAAAAGCAAAGCTAAGAAAGGAAAAAAAGATGTCAAGTTAATTTAATTTGTATGTATATTCATGAATGTAATTTATTAGCACGAATGGCAGGGTTTATCCCCAATTACCCAGAAGAATATCGAGCTTTAAAATTTTCACAACAACGTATTGAAAAAATTCATACACGATTAGCGGTCATAATTGTCCATATTAATTCTTTCAATTAATTATTCTTTTTATCTAAGGTCTCGGTTGAGATAAAAAGAATAAGTATTGAAGAAACTAAAATCACAATATGTATTATCAAGTTATAATGTAATTTTTAAAAAGGAAATTAGTAGATTTAAAACGCGAGAAAGATAATAAAAGAAAAGCAAAGCTAAGAAAGAAAACAAAAAGTGAAGTTGATTTAATTTGTATGTATATTTGTGAATGTAATTTATTAGCACGAATGGCAGGGTTTATCCCCACTAACCCAGAAGAACATCGAGTTTTAAAATTTTCATAACAACGTATTGAAGAAATCCATTTACGATTAGCGGTCATAATTGTCCATATTAATTATTTCCATTAATTATTCTTTTTATTATAAGGTCTTGGTTGAGATAAAAAGAATAAGTATGGAAGAGACTAGAATTTAAGAAATTAGTAGATTTAAAACGCGAGAAAGATAAGAAAAGAAAAGCAAAGCTAAGAAAGAAAACAAGAAGCGAAGTTAATTTGTACGTATAAGCGTGTCATGATTTGAGCTTATATATAATATAATTGTGTAGGGGTTAGTGACCGTTAATCGATAGTTATTCAGATATCGTGAGATGCGGTCGAGTGTGATGTAGGTTTCAGAAAAACATTTTCTTTATCGTGCCAATGTTTCGATCTTTTATTGAGATCATCTTCAGGGCCTGGGATTTACAAACAATGTTTACATTTAACAAATACATTTAGGATGTGGAAAAGTGAATTTATACAATACAAAATGTTTTTAAATCCCAGACCCTGAAGATGATCTCAATAAAAGATCGAAACGTTGGCACGCTAAAGAAAATGTTTTTCTGAAACCTACATCACACTCGACCGCATCTCACGATATCTGAGTAACTATAATATAATTGTTTATTTTATATGAGTAATATATTTTATTTGCCGTTACTTAGTTCATAACTTTATTTATAGATACAATAATAAGTGGAATCTAATGAGGTCTATCTCGTTGTCGAAAGTAACCGGTGAAACGGTCCAAATCAGGGTCGAGTTCTGCACCGGTCCAAAATCCTAAGGCGGTGCTCGATCCTCCTTAAACCCTCATCTTCCTTCGATTTACTTCGTCCCAAAGTACGATCGTCGTTTTTTCATTTCGGAAAATTTTTATTTAATTTTACCCTTCACTATTTGGGGTGTCGTACCCATCAATAAAAACCATTGATACTTTAAGAATTTGGAGGGGGCGTCGAGCATCCAGTCCGCACCTAATTTGGCCGAGGGAATCGATCTAACTCGAGACGATTCATTGAAAAAAAAAAAAAATTCTTTGAACGTTTCTCGACCTCCCCTTTTCATCTCTTCGGACCATCTCAAAGACGTTTCCTTAGTTAATAAGGTATGCGAATGAAAACCGATATAGTTTGTTCGAACTGACCTGACAGTGCGCGATAGCTAGGATTTCAAAGTTCAAACCTGGATTCTCGAAACTTACGTGGCAGATGGATTGTAGGTTCCACTCCGGCGGTCTGGTTATAAGTGATAAACCCTTAGTTGACTTTTTTATCAAACTTGCGTCTAAAAAAACAGCGTACACACATCTAGCCTAGACACACGCGACGTTTTAATAATATATTTTGTGTTTAATAATAACTCGAATGTGTTTCAATTGGGATAATCTCGGTCGATGGCTAGGTACATGGACGAAACCGGACTCATCGATGATTCTAGAGCTGATATTCTGTCAGGTGAGTGTTAAAGATGTGAGCTAATGAGCAAGTTATGTTATGTGGCGCAACGTTTAGAGCATCTGATGTTTTCGGTCCCTGTTCGACGATCTCTGAAAAAATCAATCTTATATCTCCTTCATAGAGATCATACGCCCTCTATTTTAAACGCTTAATTAACTTTATGACCTCGACATTTAAAAATAATTTCATCTATTGTATTACATCAATCATAATTTCCGTCCGACAAGAATAAATAAATCTCCCAAAAGAAAGTCCAAAATCATCCAAACGATTTGTATTTACAGGCAATAGCCCATTTTATTACAATAATTACCAGAAAGACAACATTTAAAACATGAAAAACATTGACGATAATAAAATAAGAAAAATAATAAAAAAAAGTTTAATTTACATAACAAAATTTAGGATTTGACAAGTAAATAAAACCAATTTTAAACAAGATATTTAATATCTATACTGTTCGGTAGCATATTGACCAGATCCATCGTTCTGTATATGGGAGAGCGAGAAGTACAGTTGGATACGGGAAGATGATGGTAGAGTATTTTTTATTGCAGGTGTGGACAATAGGACATGAAAATCAAGGTATGATAGCGATCCTGAGGGAGTCGATATTATTATTAAGAATCCGTCATGATTAATATTATAATTAATTTATAAAATAGACAATAAAAACTCTCTTCTGTAGAGATCACATGCCCTCTACTTTAAATGCTTCTTTAACTGAATGACTTCAAAATTTAAGAATAGTTCATCTATTGTATTTCATCAATCACAATTTGGGTCCGACAAAAAATAACTAAAAAAACCCCCAAAATCAGTGAAACATTTTATGTATTTACAGACCCCATTTATTGTAATAATTACAAAAAAATTCAACATTTAAAACTTGAAAAATATTGACAATAAGAAAAATAATAACAAACGTGTAATATAGAAACCAATATTTGAATTAAAAAAATAATATTTGGGGTTTGACAAGTAAATAAAAACAATTTTAAACAAGATATATAATATCTATACTTTTGGGTATCATATTGACCAGATCCATCATTCTGTATATGGGAGAGTGAGAAGTATAGTTGGTATGGGAAAATGATGGTAGAGTGTTTTATATTGCGGGTGTGGACAATGGGACATGAAAATCAAGGTATGATAGCGATCCTGAGGGAGTCGATATTATTATTAATTTCTTGGTCATTGTCAATATTATAATTAATTTATTAAATAGATAATAAAAATCCTCCTCTGCAGAGATCACTCGCTCTCTACTTTAAACGCTTCTTTAACTGTACGACTTCGAAATTTGAGAATAATTTCACCTATTGTATTACATCAATCACAATTTCGGTCCGAGACGAATAAATAACTCCCCCCAAAAAAAGAGTCCAAAATCATTGAAAACTTTGAAATATTGAACATTGACAATAATAAAATAAAAATAATAATTTAGATACCAATATTTGAATAAAAAAATAATATTTGGGATTTGACGAGTAAATAAAAACAATTTTAAACAAGATTAATTAATTATGCATATATACACAACAACAATCAACCATTACATCTGGTATCCACATATACATGTACCAGATGTACTAATTGACCATTGTTGTACACGTACCTTCTAAAATTCCTCTTTGAACTGGCTTTAGATGTATAATATATAATATCTGTACTGTAAGGTAGCATATTGACCAGATCCATCATACTGTAAACGGGGATTAGAAGTATAGTTGGTATGGAAAAATTGGTGGTATAATATTTTTTATTGCGGGTGTGGACATGCCTGAAAAT